CAGGAGCTGGGACTTGGCAGGATTGTAAAGTTGAAGCCAGCTAAGACAGTGAAGTATACAGTGAGACATTGCCAATCAGGGGAAAAACCTAGGCATCAAGGCGCATGCTTGCAATTTCTGTACTTGGGAGGCAGAGGCAGGCGAATTGCCACAAGTCTGAGGCCAGTAGCCCAGCCTGGTCTACATAGCAAGTTCCAGGAGAGCCAGGGCCACATAGTAAGACTCTGTCTCAGGAAAATAAACCAAACAACACCCTGAAATAGGAACTGATTAAATTTCTATTATTTCTAGGACTATATATAGTTGCATCAAAGCTGGATATGGTGGCACATACCTTTAATCCCAGCACTTGAGAGTCAGAGGCAGGCAGATCTCCTTGAGTTAGGCCAGCCTGGTCTACGTCGTGAGATACTGTCTTGAAAGAAAAAAATAGTTTGGTGTGGTGGCATAGGACTTTTATCCCAGGGCTCAGGAGACAGAGGCAAGTGGATCTCTAAGTCTGAGGCCAGCCTAGTCGATAGAACTACTTCCAGGACAGGCAGGGAAACCCTGTCTCAAAAAATAACACAAAATTAGATTTAAAATACATTAAAGATTACAAAACTAAATTAAAGATTACAAAGTACATTTTGAAAATATTATTTCATATTTGACTACAGTATGTGGTCCTATCACTTTTGACAGTATGCTCAGAATTAGACCACGTGAGGAGAGCATTTGTCAGGTCACGTTTGTCTTAGATTGTGCAGGAGACCTTTAGGGGACATGCCTCATTTTGGAGATAACTAGGCTAAAAATTTTTGTGTCAGTTAATTGCAGAAATAATACATTTTATTATTACTATTTTTTGGCCACTCAGGCTGGCCTTGTACTTTCATTCCACTGCCTAAGCCTCGAGTTTGCTTTTGCTCTCACCAAATTCCCATCACCAGCTAGCGTCTTTGAATGTCAGTCTATTGGGAACCCCTAGCCTCCCTATCCCCAAAACATAAGGGTACCACCAGCAAGGCAAGTTGGACTCTAAGATAGCATGACATGTCATCCTGAAATGACAGCTGGTCTGTTTCTGTCCTTGCCTTCCTCCCCATCAACCACTGGATTCAATCATTCTTTGTCACCTTCCAGAGCCAATGCATTTCTTTAAATTCCAGTCTGCCCTGTCTGTTCCCAGGGCAGTCTAAACATGGCCTTACTCAACCATATCCCTAAAGACCCTAAGATCACATGTCTAGTTACTGTCTCCTTGCTATGACATCTTTCCAGGTGGCTAAAGGGAGGAAGGGCTTGTTTTGGTTTGCAAGTGTTCAAACATGTCAGTGGGGTGGGGTGGGGACTTCACATTTAAACCACACTTCTCATTCTCGGGGCTGTTTGCTAGAATTGGACATGCTAAGCTTATCTCTGGACTCCAGGCATTCAGTCATCCCCCACTCACGCCAGCACCTCTAACTGCAAGGCAGAACTGTTCACTGATAAGCAACTTGTACTATGTCCTAAAGAACCAGTCATCACTAAGAGAAAAAAAATTAGAGATATATATACTCATATTATATGTATAGAGATGTGCCGCCTTATGTGTGCCTGGTGCTTGTGGAGGCCAGAAGAGGGCATTGGATCCTCTGGAACTAGAGTTAGGTTGTGAACCTCCATGTGGGTGCTGGGAATTGAACTAGGATCCTGGAAGATCCAACTTGTTTGTGTGGCTGCTAGGGATTGAATTCAGGGCCTCAAGCATGCTAGGCAAGTGCTGCATTAAATCACACCAGCTCTAAGAAGGTATGTTTTTTAAGACATGGTTCCTGGGGATGGGGACATTGTTAGGAGCACTTTCTGCTCTAGTAGAGGACCCAAGGTCCAACTCCCAGCTCATGAATGTTTACTAATGCTAGTGCCAAGGTGTCTGACCTTCTCTTCTGGACCCCTTACGTAATAGGCCGGCATATGGTCCACATACATACATGCAGACAAACATACACACAAAAGAATAACTAATTTTTTTTTAAAGAAAAGGAAGCTGAGTGGTGGTAGTACATCCCTTTAATCCCAGTGTTCTGCAGGCAGAGGCAGACAGATTTCCTAGTTCAAAGCAAGCCTGGTCTACCAAGTTCCAGGACAGACAGGGCTACACAGAGAAACCCTGTCTTGAAACAAGCAGGCAAGCAAACAAACAAACAAGAAAGAAGAGATGGTTCTTTATGTATTGTGTGCTTGAGAACTGCCAGGAGAGTGGATTTTTTTTTTTTTTTTGGTTTTTCGAGACAGGGTTTCTCTGTGTAGCTTTGCGCCTTT